AAATAGATAATCTAGAGTCCATACATTGTGTCACGTCATCATTCAACAAGCATTCCACCACATTAATAAGGAAAACCAACGAGAAGACCCCCATTTATCTCACAGATAAACAAAATAAGTTTATCTCAACTAACAAAAGGGAAAAGCTAAATTTTATATTATAAACACAAATTCTTGATTAAGGCTGGTAGTAGTTGGAGTAGTAGTAGTAATAGTAATTTTAGAATCCTGGCCTCCCTGGATTATTCTAAAATTTCAAGGGTTCCCCTTGGAACATTCTAAAATTCCAAGTGTTCCCCTGCAACTGTAAATTGGTAAAACTAATCCCCCCAAAGTTCGGATTATTTAATAATAATCCAAACTTGGGATTATTTTTACCAATTTTTCCAATAAAAAAACACATCAAATTTAAAAATGGTTTTTGGTGGCGATCGAGGTGATGGTTAGTTGTCGGTGGGTGTTTGGCAGGAGGAGAGAACGTACTTAAGTTAGAGGGGTGAAATGACATGAAGTACACGTAATTAGGATAAGTCTGTCTAGTAAAACACAAGCGTGGTATATATTAGTACTTCAAATTAATGACTTAAAGTATAGCTTATCTAATTTGCATATTTATTATAAGGACTTTTTGTCATAAACTACCTATTTTATAACACTTTTTTGCGAGAAACTACCTAATAAAAAAATATTGTAAGAAACTACACATTAATTAAAAAGGTAAGTGTTGTAAATGACTACCCTAGGTCAGAATGGCACCGTTGACCAAGCTTTTTCAGCATTGACCCCCTTGCCCCTCACATGACTTTTAATTATGCCTTTCCCTCCGTTTCCCCCTTAATTTTCCCTCTAGCTCACCCAAATAACCCCTAATTATCCTCCCTAACAATATTAAGTATGCAAATTATAGTACAACCATCATTTCATTTTATATGAGAAATATAAATCTGCACAAAAAGAAACTCGTAAATAAAGAAATACGATTATCGTAGAAAGAAACAAATGTACCTTTATGTCACATATGTTATACCCTCCCTTGCTATCATCAATTTATAAGCATCAGCTTTACTCTTTTTCTCGACATTAGACAATAGAGAATCTTTGATTTTAGGTTCTAAACCAACCCATTTTTCTTGTGGAAACCTCGTTGCCTTAGTTATATCATAGCCATTATGTTTTTGAAACTCTCTGGTATATCAATATACCACAATCCAAGGGATATAATATGTGCCAACTTTATCGAACTGCATTTGTAAGTCCTAAAAATCTCATACCCATACGGGTTGTAATCTCATACATAAAAAGCCGGATTTCTGAAGGTATCAAAGAGTAACCTCAAAAACAACATACTATCAATTAATGGAAGGCTCTCCACCACTCATGACAATTATAACTACGGTTGAATTTAGTCGATACTAAATTTTTAAATATAGACAACTTTTCAACAATTAAAATACAAAATGGAGCAACATTACTTGATTAAACTTTGATGATGTTGGAAAAATTAATTGCATGAACTAGGTCTAATTGACAATCGTCCTCCAAAACCTCTCCACACGAGTTAAGACCCTTCTTACAACAATTACGCATCCAATAAAACCAGAATTGTTGAATTCAGTTGTAACTCTTAATAAAAACGATAGCAACAAAAGAGGTTTGTCAATTCATCAATTTATCCATTCTTGTAGTTTAGGTGGACATGGAAATAGTAACAGCGTTGATCTCACTTTTATTATTAAACTCGTAATAAATGTCCCTAATTGATCTTGAAAGCACAATATGTTGAGCTAACATAGCTTCTAAAGTTCTAATCAAAATTATGACTATGTAACCGAGGTATAGAAGATTATATTATTACCAAAAAGTGATACGGAGTATGTATAGAAGATTATATTATTTCTTCATGCGTGTAACTAGAGCTGTCAATTCGGGTAAACAGGTCGGGTTAGTGTGGGTCGGGTCATATCGGGTTAATGATGTAACCTATGCGAGTCGGGTTCGGGTTGGGTCACGTCGTCGAGTCGTACATCTTATCGGGTTTAGGTCGGGTCAATAAAAGGTCGGGTTACATTCAGGTTAGATGAATAATAGGTCGGGTTTATTCGGGTTTTCACGGGTTAATCGAGTTAGGGTCATTCTCGGGTTCGGTTCAAGTCAATAATTAGCGGGTTATAATCAGGTCGGGTCATTCTCAGGTTCGAGTCGGGTTCAGTTCAAGTAATTAATTTGCGGGTTATATCAAGTCGGGTCATTTTCATGAGTGAGTCGGGTTCGGTTCAAATCAAAACTTTGCGGGTTATAATCAGGTCGGGTCATTTCCAAGTTGGGTCATTCTCGGGTTCAAGTCGGGTTCGGTTCAAGTCAATAATTTGCGGGTTATAATCAGGTCGGGTCATTCTCGAGTTCGGGTCATTTTCGGGTTCAAGTCGGCAAGTCAATAATTTACGGGTTATAATCAGGTTGGGTCTTCCGAGTCGGGTCATGTTCGGGTTCGGGTATCAAATATGAGTTAATCTGGGTTTCAGGTTGATTTTAGGTCCGGTAATATTGGGTTCGGGTACAATTTTTTGGGTCGATTTGTTAACAGTTTATGTAATGACGTTCACATTTAATCATTATCAATTTCTTCATTTATTGTAAGATAAATAATTTCAGAGAAGTTTAAATTCGAGCTAATAAGTTCACGTAAGTTTAGATAAGATATATATACATTATAAGTTCATATTAATTCCAGTAAGATAGGTTTAGTTTAGATTTTTAGAAGATAAGTTCAAACCCTATTCTGATCTATTCACATTGTTTTAACTCATTTTAGGGATAACAATTTCAGATAATTTCATGTTCGATATCACATGTTCAAATAAGTTATTAAAATTTGTAATTTAGATGTTCTTTCATAAATTTAGTATGGCATATCTTTATATGGGGTTAGTTGGTTTTTTTTTTTTTTTTTGGCTTGGCAGTTATTAGAGTTCCTTTTTTTTTTTTTTTGTGGTTTTTTTTAATGGTTGGGTGGTAATGTGTGATGGATTAGGGTTTTCACCAAATTGCTAGATTTGGGGGTTTGAAGAGTTCTAGTTGAAACCAACATTGTTATTATTATATAGGATAGGATATATGGATTTTCTGATAGTTGAATATTTGCTATATATTGGGTGATTTGTTTTCTTTGTCAGGCTTCATCTCTTGTTCGTTGGTTATACTGTTAAAAATGACTTGATGAACTAACTGATATCAATTATTCTAATGTTCTTCTGATGGTTTTCTGTTTGTTTATGTTAACTGATTTGGTTTCCTTTGCAGGTCTTCATAAAACCCCTTTTAGCCCGTCCATTTACTCTGGAGGGCTGCAAGTTCCGTCCGTCTAATACCTTTGGTGACATTAGGGCTGCCATTGTTCGTGAATTAAGGCCTGATCATGACCTCTATGAATTTAATGACCCTAAAACAGACTTCCTGAAGATTCCCGGTGATTTCGGTGTATTGGAGGATGATTGGACTATAGCATCTGTATCCGAGAGCTGTTGTCCTACCTATATTACCATAGCTATCGTCCCCCCTGCTCTTATGGGTACACTGTCATGCCTTTGTTGCTGTCACTGATCTTACCCCCCACCAGCTTGACCTGCTAACCTTCCTTGACACTCCTCAGCATCATGTGAAATACCTTTATGGTTGGGATATGATGGACGAAGCTGAGGATTTTGGTGTTTATTATATTGAGCGTTTGAACATCAAGTGGCTTGGATTAAGGCCTTCGGACCTTGAACGCTTTCCTGCTGATGTCTTTGATAGTCTGGCCTTGCCCCGGCCACGTGATTTTGATAATGTCCTTTCCAAGATCCAATGGAATCCGCATTTCAGTAGGAACCAAGCATGGGTTAGAGAATTGGAGCTCTTCAAAGCGAATCAAAAGTGTGTAATGTTCCAGCCTAGTGGCCCTCTGAAAAATCTACTGTCCAAGAGACTGTTTGAGATGGATTGCGTTTAGCTTCCACCTTAACCCGACTAGTAATGCAGAGAATGCAGTGCCCTTGGTGGTTTGTTTAAATACTAGAGATATTATGAGCATGTACTCTTAGCTGTTTTATGTAATCTAGCTTTTTTATGATGATACTCCGTACTATATACTCTAGGTCTCTAGCTGTTAATGTTTCTAATATGGAGTATTAATTTAGCTATACTACTCATGCACTCTATTTTAGAATCTTCTGAAATCTCATCTGAGTTTTGTATCAGCGCCCTCTTGGAGTTTGTCACTTGAAGATGTGTTTCGGTTCGATGACCAACTTTTATACTTCCTACATATTCAATTATTTGCATCACTTGAATAAAAGTTTTATTTAACATCACTTTCCCTTTTAATTGAAAATGTGTTTTAACTAGAATCATACTCTGTCAAAAAAAAAAAAAAAAAAAAACAATCATACTCATTATTCACTCTTCACACTGATATCACTCAAATATAGGTTTGGTTATGACGAGTCATTTTACCCGTCAATCAAATTAGGTTAGGTCCACTCAAATTCGGGTCAAAGTCTGGTTTGTTCGGGTACATATTGGATTTGGAATAGGTCAATTTTGGGTCAAGCCTTTTCGGCTCAAGAGAATCCGGGTCAAGTTTAAACTGAGTTTAGTTTGGACACAATAAAATTGATTGATTTTGGGTCGTCAAATCTTAGTTATGCTTCCCTTATTACCATTAGATATTAGAATGTAGACTGTAGAGATGAAATGTTACATATTAATCCAGTAATATTTGTAAAAATAACTCATTAACGTGTACAATTTACGAATCAGTGTGTATGTTGTCATCAAGATGCGATCATGAAAGTTTACCATCAAAGAATTCAAGACACATTTACAGTAAATAATTATGTTTTACGGAGTATTTTCTAATATGCAAGTTACTCCGTACCTAGCTTAAGTTTTGTGCTTGATTACTAGTCCATACTCCACATATCGGTGGTGTACTGTGTACAAGAAGAGATTTACACTATATATAAACAGATAACGTACTTTTACAATGGCTACATGTACACTAAATCTGTAGCCACTGTAAAAGTTTTTAATCCAAATAGACCATAATATACATTCAACACAAGCTTAATTTAAGATCAATGTTAGATTTGCAATAAGTTAGGCAAGCAAAAACAATAATAACAACATCAACAAGCAATTTCAACTTGGATCCACCTTTTATTTAGAGGACAATCCAAATTTGTAGGTTTTACTAGGATTGCAATGGAAGTTCCCATCTCCTCTAAACCCATACTTGGTCTTATATCCAGGATACTCGAGACGTTTAAACTTGACTGCTTGAATTAGATATAACCCTTGATCACTTCCTAGTTTTGGTATATCCCATCGACGATAAAATCTACTAGATTTCGAAGTGATGTGTATTTCACCATCTTCTCCGATCATCTTCTTCGCGTTTTGTAAGAAACCACTTATCAGCTTTTGATGCATGCTGCAAAGCATTCAAAAAGTTCTAAGATGCACATTGAGATGCTTTTAGACTAATCCCCTTAGAAAGAAAATAATATTACGAGTAACATTTCATATTCATACTCAGTAACATTTTTACTACTTTTTTGTTTGCAATTTTATTTATTGGAAACACTACTATCACAAAGACCACCTTTTCAGTGGTTAATCCATAAGGAGATATTGAGAACAAATATTATAGGGTTGCAAGTTTGCAACAACTCACGAAAGTGGTCTTATGATTTATGATGGTAAAACGGTCTTACACAAGTGTATTATTATTAAACTTTTAATTTCTTCAAACTACATAATAATTCTTTACTTTATTTTTGTTGAAATAACAAAATTGATTTTAGTATCCAAGTTGACCCATTTCGGGAGGTCCTTATTTTTTTGGTATTACACTCTTAAAAAAAATAAAACAAAACAAAACAAAAACAAAATCAAAATCAAAGGAACCCACAAGCATTGCTTTATCTATCTTCAAATAACTTTATGGTACGGATAGAATATGATAAAGAAAAAGCTTATTCTTACCGTAATTCATAATCACCTTTACCAAATTTCCCAGCATGAGGAAAATTGAAAATCACACGATCGAACATCATGCTACCGACGAAGGGATGATTCACCATTTTCGTGGCATCGACACCATGAAGGACCACACTACCTCTAGTCTCCAACTCCGCCTTATTGTTGGGGAACTTGCGGTAGTTTTTGGTTAAAAAGTCTGCAACATTATATTGTTACAAAGATACACATTTTATTTTTCAATCTAGTTACAAACTTGATCTTATAACATCGCATAAACAATTACAAGCTCAAAAAAAACATCGCGTTACCTTCATGGTTGAGAGAAGTTGCAATAATATTAGAAGCCGATGTACCAAAAGCAACAGCCAAACTCGCCGAGAAAGAGAAGTCGCCTTCACCAACAAGTAACACCCATTGATCACTAGTGTACGGCCCTATTTTACCAACACCTATTTTACTCAACACTTTCTGTACAATTTCCGCTATAACTTGATCATAAACATAATCTACGACAGATTCTTCGTTACTTTCACTGATCAAATCGAACACAACGTGGGGTGCTGGTGATGAATCTAAGTTGTAGTCGTCATCATCATTATTCCATGGAATACCAGCTCTTGATTCGGAAACCGGCTGAAAATGATCGGATATGTTGATGTAGTAGTGGCTTTCTAGCTGATTATTCTGATCAACATAATAAGTTTGGTGATTATTGGACAGAAGATCTTTTCTTTGTGTTTCATTTCTTGATTTTGGGCAAATCCAACTCCATAAGTTGGAAGATATTTGACCCATTTTTTGGACTAGCTATAATACTGTATGACTAAAATCAATATTATGAACTTTCATATATAGAGTGTATACTTATAATAATTAAAAGAGCTTAATCTATCGATTGGAAATAGTAAATCGGATTATATTATTAAATTATCTGCATTAATAGTAAGTTGACGACTTCGTTGACTTCACCTGAATTTTGATTGGCACCTAATTACCCAATCAATATTCCATTTGATTAATTAAGAGAATTTTTTTATTGAATAGTTATAAAGTGAACAATAATGGGTTGCTACTATCAAACTTCAAGCTAAGGAAAGCTTCAAGAGTTCAAGACATTCCATGTAAAGTATAACGAGTAGTTTAATAGGTACGGAATTCCCTATTACGAGTAGCTAACTTCGTGTATTACATTTTACATACATTGATACAAGCATATCCTTAAACTTTTATGAGTACTATTTCTTCTTCTTCTAGTTGAACGTCATAATCCCATAAACGAGGTCGACTATATGAACCAACATGAGGACTTTTCAGGAGGTCACCCATCCTAATACTACTCTCAATTATTGTGGCTCATGTTTGCATTTGTTGTCACTGTCCTACCATAACCCTCCTCCTTTATCCAGGCTTGGAACTAACAGCAGGAAGCCCACTAATAGAGTTAAGCATATCAAAGTTTTAAAAAGTAAGAGTATTATTTAAAATAAAAAATTAAAATAAACCAAAACTCATCCAAAAAAAAAAAAAAAAAAACACCATACCAACCCTATATACTAGGCGATTTCTATCTATTTTTTTATTATTATTTGTGTAATTGGACATAGCCTTTTTTTAAGTTTTGGGACTATGGTTTAGTACTTTAGTGGTATGAAACACTCTGTAATTAAAAACATAATAATTGTAATAATTAGCAATCCACTCATTTGTCATTATGCTTGTTGGGTTCCTTTTCATGTTTATTTAAGTTAAACGTATACTAGCTCCCACCGTCCCTCCATCTCTGAATAATTGACATATAATTTTTTTCACTATTTATATAGTACTTTAAGCTTGAGTATAGTTTTCCTTTTTCCTAAAAAAAAAAAAAGCTTGATTATAGTTTTATAATAACATACTAATAACAATAAATTTTATCATAAAATATGTTGTTATATAACTAGGTATTAATTATAAATTTTCATAATATCAAAAAAAATTTACTGCTTATATTTTTTTAGTGATATTTATATTTTATTCTATATAACTAAGTAAGGTCAAACTAATATTATGTATGTCAAATTTACTGTATCAATTATTCTGAGATTTTGTACATTTTTATTATATATATATATATATATATATATATATATATATATATATATATATATATATATATATGTATATATATATTTTCTCTTTTTTGAAGTCAAGGGGACACAAGATATAATGTATGCAGTAGATTTAAATTCAAAGAACAATATCGTAACATTTTTCATAAAATACTACTCCATATTTCGTACTACATATGAGTACAATATATGGAGTATAATTCTACTCCGTATTTTTTTACATCATGCCGGAGTACTATAATAAGTAATTGCAATTTGCAAATTAGATACCTTTTTCTCAACAAAAATAATCTTATACGTACAGTACTATGACATTGTCGTTATTGCTTTGATGACAATATTGAATGACGTGAATAGACTATCGTCACTACCTCATAGTGATATTTTAGTCATCCAAACCTACTGCTTTCAGATACGAGCATTATTCATATTAAGATTGTTAAAAATATCGTAAGAATTTTAATAATTTGACTGTACTGTTATTTATTTTATTTATAACACATTAACTTAGACCATTATTGATAGTTTAATATTATGGGTGTAAACTATTTACCTAACTAGGTTAGATCCCGTGTCATGTACGGTGATCTATAATTATATATAGTTATAAATTATTGATTGATAAGTATCATAATCATAAATTAATTGAGTAATAATAAAAGTATGTGATATGTTGATTTAGTATTTGCATTTTTTTAGTTGTAGCTTCTAATACACAACTAAAACAAAAGTAGGAAAAAAATTTGAGCAATATTTTTTCTTGTTGTAAAACACGTCATAAATTATTTTAAGAATATGATTTTTGGTTTATAGTTGTCCAAATTTTTATTAGAAAGATTTTTTTGAATATTTTTATTTTAAATATCATAATTATTACGTATTAACATGGAATATTTATAATAATTTCTTTCCATAATCAATAGTTTTTTTTTTAAAAAAAATAATAAGTAAGGACACAGCAGGAGATGACACGTGTCATTGATGATATGTCTTTTAGTATATACTAGATAGATAGATTATTCTCGTGCGATGCACAATTTGAAATATTAACTTTTATATTTATTTTTTTTCATACCAAAATTTAAAACAAAATATTATCCCAAAACAGATAATGCATCAATTATTTTTTAGAATAATTAGAGCACATGGAAAATTTGGATGATGAAAGGGGTACTTGAGGAAGTATTGTTAGATAGTATAGACTGTTTTTCGGAAATTGATACTTATAATATTATAGTTGACCAAAAATTTATTAAAATAAAATAAAATAAAAATCATAAAATGATGACATCATTTATAGTTTTAGAGGGAATTTTTTTAATGACATGACATGTTGTTCCTATTTTCGTATTAGTTATACTCTCTCTGTCCCACAATATAGTTCCCGTTAGTCTATTTTGAAGACCTAAAATGTTGTTCCTGTTTCTATTTTTGGATAGTATGTAAAGACCATTATACCCTCATTTTTTTTTACTTTATTCATTGTACTTTTTAAATTATCCTTGAATTTTGCACATGCCTTGTACTTTTTTCCACTTTCTCGATCTCTCTAACTTTTGTCTATAATTGTACTTTTCACTTTTTTTAATGTACTTTGATTAGGGGATTTTTATCCACCAATCACCGTCTGACAAGTGGACCAACCAGGTTCCGCCACGTGTCCTTCACGAAGGCCAACAGGAGCCTGCCACGTGTCAATCACAGATACGTCCTCTACGGACCAATTTAGACGCGCCACGTGTCCACCCATGCCAAATGGGAAAACCGGCCATCAAGGCCCAACTCAGTCTAGAGGCCCGATCAGCCCTAGGTTTACCTTAAACCTAGAGAGTGGCACGCTTCTCAAGGCTATAAATACTCAATTAATCCTCATTAATTACAGAGTGAAAAAGTAATCAAGCAGAGTAGAACAGAGTTATTACGGAACATCAACAACCGGCTAATCTCGCTAACGACGCAGATTACCAACACTAAGCACTCTCACCTAGAGAGATCTCATTACTTTAATTTCTGTATTGATTACTCCTTAATCAGGTACTAACTTGACCGTTGGAGGCGGAGCTCTCAGGAGTCTCCGTTATTTTACAGGTACAGGCGTCCGGTTCCAGTCTCGGAATTGTAACTCTCCCGCAGGACATCAGAAAACCCCGAAACATTTGGCGCCGTCTGTGGGGAGAGTACTTCAGAGATGGCATCCAAGTCTGTACCGACTCCAGAAGAGAGGCGTCCCCTAGACGACCCTCAAGTTCAGTCGGACCATGATACCGAAAGTGAATTTGAAGTTGAAACTCATACAGCTCCAGACGGGACCCTAAGGGCCCGACGTACCCGCCATACCGAAAGGAGGGAACGGGAGCATCTTCAAACAGGAAGCGAGCCAGCAGGCGCACCGCTTGCTCGGCAACAGCCGACTGATGGGTCTGCTCCCATCACAAGGAACGAACTCATGACCTTCATGAGGGACTTCAAGGGAGAGATTCAAGAGTTGATCAACAAAAAACCGCCTGCTTCAGTCAAAGAGCAGTCGGCCAAGAAACCTTCCACTTCACTGAAGAGGAAGCCAGTGCAAGGGCGAGAGGCGACTCCCCATCCTAAATCCAAGAAGCGGGAGCCACCTGCTCTTGATTTTACAAAACTCCGTTATCCTACGGGAAATAGGAAACCGGTTCGTCATATTCAGGCGGACGGGTCAAAGCAAACGTTCACAGATGCTCGGCTCCTGCTAGAGCAGAAGAAGAGTGACCGATTATCAGAGTCGGCTTCTACTTCAAATTTTCAGGACAGTTTGCGAAATGCCTCGATGAGGCATACTCAGTCGTACCATGAGAGTCAGTCAGGCGGCACCTCCCGTCAGTCCGGCTTTCATAGTGCCCAGGCGGTACCAAACTTACCGTTTGTGCCGCAACAACAGTATTTTATGCAGCCACCTCCATTTGGTGGACCTGCAGCAAAAAACGTCCAACCTATGGACTGGCAGCTACGGCTGCTTAGACTTGGTGAACAGCCGTCGGCCTTCTCCAAGGAAATTACTGAAGCCGCTCAGCCGGCCAAAGTAAAAAATGTTCTAGTAGGCGCCTATGACGGCACTACTAACCCAGAAGACCATCTGATGGCATTCACCAACCTGATGTACCTTCAAGGGTTGGATGATCCCACTTGGTGCAAGTGTTTCCCAGCGACTCTCAAGGGAATTGCACAGCAATGGTTCGGCAACCTGCCGACTGGTTGTGTAAATAGCTTCAGGACGCTTGCTTATTTATTTGCCTCCAACTTCGCAATGAACATCCCTGCGAAGAAAACGACCCTTGATTTGGGAACAATTCAGCAGGGCGAGAAGGAGGGGCTTCGTTCCTACATCAGGCGGTTCAACCTGATGAGAATACAGATTCAAGGGTTACCGGATGAGGTAGCTTATACTGACTTTTTTAGAGGTCTCAAAGACGGGTCTACCTTCAAATTTGATTTAGTTCGAAAGAGGGTGGCGACTCTTCAAGAGGCCTTGATTGAAGCAGAAGCCTATATACAGGCGACTGATCTGTGTACGATGAAACAGTCGGACGGGAAGAGGTTCGACAAAAGAGAGGGACGACAGAAACAGTCGTCCAACAAAGATGAGAAAAGAAAAGAGGTCTGGGCGGCTGATTCCTCTAAACAGCCGACTCAGAAAAAGAAAAAAGAATTCAAACCATACTCCCCGAAGTATGTGTTTAACAAGGATAACCAGT